TGCGTGTCCCCGGTCTCGGAACGAGACAGGGAAAAAAAAATGTAAGAGGTGGTCAACAAACTAATAGTTGAAATTATTCACTGTCAAACGGATACCTAATGAGGTAAGTTACATTTTGCTTTATGCTTTCAAATAGAAGGTTCTGAAGGCTGCGAAGCCGGTCAACATTCTGTAGTCCATTGTGAACACTGGTGGCAGACTACCAGCCAAAATCGTCGACAGAGAGGGTCACCGACATCATGTTAACATACAGCGGACCATACGTAAATCGCTTTTGCTGTTACTACTAAAAATTTGACAGGCGATCACGTCTAATCGTTTATCTGTGGATTAGACCGTGATGATATAACGTGATGGGGTCGGTTACAAAATCAAAGCGATCTATTGGGACCAGCTGTGTTTCTGGATCTAGATCTAGCGTTGGTGAGTAATTGGCTAATGTAGGTTCTCGTACATGACGAGTGGACCTTGTACAATAACAAAAAAATGGCATTGTACTGTGTAAAACTGCAGTTCTATTTCACCAATTTTGAAGGAGGCCCACATGCCGGTAGTAACAACGGTACAGAGCCAATAATCCAGACCGAAAAAAACGCTTTTTATTAACTCCGACTTGTGATACTCACGTTAAACTTAGCTACTGTAATCGAAGAAAATGTAATTAGTCACTTATCTCGCACGAGAATAAACTTGAAAATTGTCGTACATATTAAATTTACACAGGCGCATAGACATTTTGTAATTAGGCGCCGATGTAACATGTCTTCCTCTTTAATAATACGGATAGAGCGAGTTCTCTAGGTCATACTGAACACCTCATCCCAAGTACTTCGCCTCTTCTTTATACAAGCTCACTCAATCAGCTGGCTCAGGCAATGTCGAAAAAGCGCGCTGCCCATTCGATAAGCCAAATATATGTATATATCGGCCGCACAGTTGCTATATACCGAGTGAATTTTTCGTACCGTTCCTTGGTTTCGGAGACCTTTGAAAACGACGTTGCTATCAAAGTCTATGAGTTACCAGTAAGACTAGTAAAAATTAACTTCCTTTGCGAAATATATATATATACGAGTGAACCCGGTGGACTTTAAGACTGTACAACTTTTGAACCGGAAGATTGTAGAACTTTTGAAATGGTGGGCTTTTATTACGTATTATAAATACTTTGGTAGCTTCTGAATAGCCAAGTAGCAACCACTCGCGCTCCCTATGTCATTTCTTCATCTATGGCCCAAAGCCAATCGACAGTAGGATATGCTTACCCACCGGTTACCTTTCCTGGGGCATGGAAAAGCCCATAATCGAACGATTAGACAAGCTGAAAACAGCGTTGAGGATTCCTTTGCTTAATTCAAAAAAGAATTGAGATATGACGATGAGGTCATTAAATAACCAGACTACGTGCTTTCGGTTTTCGTGTCAACGGTCCACGAGTTTCTTGAAAAACTTAAGATAGCGGACTTTTCAGCAAGCGCTTTATAGCAGCAGATACCCCTGGCGTTCATTGCATGTCCTATCATCACTTCATGTCCGAGTCTACTTGACAATGCTACCAAACATTACTTCTTCTTAGAACAATGCCATTCTTCCGCGTGGTCCTTCTTCGGGTAGCAGTAGAGGTAACTGCATGCTCCATGCGGCTTTTTTGTTGACTGAAGTCAAGCAAATTGCACATTTTAAATTGGTATATAATCGATTTACGGGGTTTAATATTGAATACGATGGCGCCGGGTTTGTTACTATCTTTATAGCTGAATACGGAAGCATCATTTTTATAAGTTTTCTTACTAGAATATTATTGTTAGGTGGTAGAAATTTAATTCGTCTCAAAACTTTATTCATTAGAACTATATTTCTCATTATTTGAGGAACAATCATTCGCTACCATTACGGCATACTTATAATATTAGCTTAAAAAAGGCAATTTTTCCTTAGAGAATTTTTTATAGTTTTTCACTTCATTTTTTTCTCGATCTAATCTGAGAAATTAATAAATAAAAGGACGAATACGCGAAATATAAAAAGTGAACATTTGGCACTTCAAAAAGGTTCTTCAACAGGACAAAATCCAAAATATGTTAATAAAATAAAAATATTAATAAAAGTTCAATGCCCATTTTTACTCAGTTTCCGCATTTGCAGTACTTGGGTTATAGTTCTGTAACATGTCCCACATAAAATGTCCATTTTGTCCGCCAGACCCATTAAGAGTTCAAGTTCTCTTTCATGAAAAGCCTCTTCGACTACAACAATGCATTTTCATCATTCGGGCCCTATAGTCTAGTCATCTTCTCACTCATCCTCTACACTCCAATTTCCGTTCTCGAAGCACTGGAAACATCCACGTTCTGCACCTTCGCTTCAGGCACTCTTGCCTAATATCTTTACCACTCTTCAATGAATTTTTGTAACGCCATAGCTTCCGAGGAGCAAAAAAACTGATTACCGAGGGTTGAATTTTGAAACTGAAAAATGTTCCCTCTGAAGTAAACTCAACTGGTGTTTACTCATACGTATATATATATATATATAGACAGACACACTAATAGCATTACCAATAGTTTTAAAAGGCGGCAGTAGATTTGCTACTGTAATTTCGGACGCCAGACGTAAACGTCCGCCGTAATTAACCCAGTAAACTTTTGCTTTACCCACTGGGATCCACTAATACTGCTATATCCTATACTCCATAAAATGCTGTATGGCCTTGTAGCGGCCGTATGGTACGGTAAAAAAATATGTGTAACTAGTTCATCGGTTTGTGGCGTTTGTAACGTTCACACATGGTACGAAGGCACGAGAAAAAGCACTCGTAGATTTACTTGCCATATACGCCTAGCGGAGTATATGCACACATATATTCACAAATTCCTAGACGCAAACATTTATCTCACCCTCGGTCGGTAACGGAACTTCACGCTGAGCAAGACAAAGTTTCTATGTAGGACTGAGAGAGAGAGAGAGAGAGAGAGAGAGGGAGAGAGAGAGAGGGAGAGAGAGAGGGAAGCTAAATTGCAAGTTTTTTCTTGTCAGCAGATGAAATAGGACCGCCGCAAGCGCATGCCGTGAGTCTTGTTCAGGCCGGTACCGCAGTACATAGATAATGTCAAAAAAGTATAAAACATTGGTCGGGCTGTAATAGTTGATAGTGGAGTTTTGCGTTCGCCTGTAGGCAAGTTTCGGCTCCGGCTCTGAGTTCGAACACTTTGTCTCGCTGGTAGATAGGGCGCAGCAAATAGGAGCTAATATATTGAACGTCTAATCCAATTGTTATTATAGAATGATACTGCAAAAAATATAGTAGAATGTGTAAGGACAAGAGCGAACTAGACCTAAGTCCTTGTGGAGTTATGGCTTGATTATTAATACAATAGAACTTAATAAATAACAACCTTTCGGTCGAGTGGCAACACGACTTTTAATTAGATAGACATCTTTGACTTTTGTCATCGCTGAAAAATTGTCGAATGTTCGCGACAATTAGAAACGCCCTAGAGTCATTCTTGAGTGATTGTATTGTACCGTGTAGCAGTTAGGCCTTGGCGTAAAAGGAAACTTTATAAAATCTAGTTGTGATAATTCGCTCTACGGTAGTAACCCATCTTTCGATGATCTGTTTTGAAATTGGCAGAATTTTATCTTGGGAAAAAGTGGTTTCCATTTAACTTGAATCGGATAATTTTTAGTTTGGAAAAGAAAAAAAAAACTACTTGTTATGTATACACTCACATAATTACCCGTATAGTGGATGTGTTCTATTTTAAATACTTTCTATGTAAGCATACAATATTCTTTCTCGACATAGGGCGTCGGCCTGCTCCAGCAGCAATCTGAGGTCTTCGAGGCCTGTTTTCGTCTGCACTACTACGAAATGCCACGGAAGAGTTACGATTTTGTATTACTCTGTTACGTGCCGATTATATCTGAAGTGTATTTAACGAAGTGCCTTAGGGCGTCGCTTCGAATTAGCTGTTTAGTCATAAAACAGTACAATATTGTGTATTACTATTCATAGCAACAAACAAAACATAGCAATGATTGAGTAATTCGAATATTTATGTCAAATCTGTTACAATGATGCCTAGATATTTTATAGACTCGATTATAGAAGAATTTTTAGCAAAGTAAGTAGTAGGTAGGTTTTTTTTTGTCGCCATTGTGAATACACATCGTCAATGACTATTGTAAGATAAGATGTTTTCAAATGAATCTTCAAAGGTTCTTCTATGAATAGATCCGAAATTTATTTCGCACCCTGTGCTATAGACAAAACGATTGACCGCTGTAACAATTAATCCGCTCGCTTATTATTTCGGCTTCACGTTTAAGATAATTCGAAAATAGGCCTCGTTCAATTGATACGATTCTGATGAATTAGCAAGTTCAATAAAACTTACCGTGGCAGGATTACTTCAGAGCTTATTGATGCATGACCCTTATTATCTGCCTATACGCCATCGCTTTCAAATGCCTCAGAGAATCTGGGCAGCTGACATGAATAAATGCGGCCACTGTACATAGAGCGCACGCTTCTGGACTTCGACTTCACCGCTTTAATGTTTATTATTTCAACTTGATTATTTTAGATACATGTAAATTAACGCTATGGTATTATATTATCAGCCAGGCTGCTGTTGGAAACGACCTATGATGATCACACTTGCTGTTTATTGCGGATGTGAGGGAAGTTTTTGGAAGGCCCACTTTGTGTATATATATATATATATATATATATATATATGGAAAATTATTAACGGTTTCACACACATAGAAGTAATAGATTTGAATGCGATGTAGATTTGATGCCATGGGAGTACCCTTTTTCGTTAAATATCAAATGAAAGCGTATGTTGAATTTAGTTGTACGGCAGGATCAATGTCTTTTTGTAAACCCGTAAAAAATGCGAGAAAACCGCTAGTTAGTCCGCTATGGCAAATGTCGTGATGAAAGTAAACACTCAATTTTTGCGTCTCTTTCTTTTATTAGTGATGTTTTCGTCACTTTGTATCATATAAACATTTATCAAAATATAATTGGTATTTACACTTGTACACATTATATGACGTCCTGTTCTGCTCTCGGATCATTCTTTGCATACACCTATCTTATATCGATTTACGTGCTTCCTGACACCCGGTCGTTGGCCACCGTACGTGTACTGGTCTAGATAATTTTTTGCCGAGATTATTGCCGTTTGTATTGGCGTAATCATCGTTGTCTTTACTGTATTGCCATGACACGTATTGTTTTTTGTCGTATGAGGTTTATATATATATATATATATGCATCAGTTCAAACTGGCTTCGAGAAGACATTGCTAATACTGGAAATCCTCTGACTCGTATCCAGCAAGGCTACATTGTATTGGTTGGTGCTGGGTTTACGTCGCAAGGAAAAAAGCCACACGTTTTCTTGTATTCCGCTTAAAAAAAAAACAAATCCAAACGGATTATTTTATCAGTTCATCGAGGCTGATTCAATTCTTCCGTTGGTTTCTGTCGGTGTAAATTTCAGCGTCAGTTGCATGTTCACCCGTGGGGGGCATGGCTTAGATGTCACCTCTATTTGCCTTGTGATGTTTCATCGTTTGTTGTGCATAGAAATTCCGGAATATAAAATTGTAATTTGCGTGTTCGTTATTACCTAATTTTATCTTCAGTTGCTTGTAGTAGTATTTTTCTTCACACTTCATGGATTATGTTATTGTTAGTATATTCAAATATGGAATGTCAAATATAATTAACATTTTTACAGCTGAAAATTTGAATCAATCGACAATATATGGCGAGAGGCGTACGTCAGACTTGTAACTTATACGTAAAATTTATCCATTCATGATACAGAGTCAGATCTTCTTTTCTAAGTGTACCCAATTGATTCATCATGTACACCACGTGTTTAGCCGTTTACCCAAACTCGATTCGATCATAACCATAAAACGATGTGTCTTAGACAACAGCGTCCCACCAAGATCAAACCGTGATGATTCTCAGCAATTTTATCGCTTTCAGTACGTTTCCATAGTTGTTGCGTAGATGTATATGGATCTGTCGTATGACTCATATAGATCATATGAGGGACTGTTATTAAACTGAGTTTGTAGACTATTCATTATAGTTTGATAATCATTATTGCAGAACATATCTAAACTATGTATACTTGTAGATTATTATATATTGATTCAGCATCAATTTATTGAAATATAATATTTCTGAAATATATTTTTTCTATATAAATTTTTATATAGTTTCTCGATTGAGTCACTCAGTGTTAATGTGTTCTCCATTCTGGTGTCGTCTGAAGTTAACTCCCACGGTCCCGATAACTGAAATCAGTATTAATAATAATAATAATAAATATTTTTCAAATATTATGGAAGAGCAAAATCTGAGCGATATCTGTAATTTTTTCAATCGGAGCGAAAGGTCAAGGATCAGTATCCAGATCCATGTTAATTACGATCAGCTACTTAAGCACTGCTCTATGTGTCTGGAGTTGGGATGAATGTCTAAATGAATTTGCCTGGAACTAGGCTGAGGCTCGTCCCTAAGAACCGGCCACTAATTTTCACTCTAGTTCGTCCTAATAGTATTTATTCGGAATAGCTGGAATAGATGGAATAGTTATGCAATGAATTCACTTTAACTTGACCTCTCTATACGTGTGAAGGTAAAGGGGATGATACGTTCTTGGAGATGACACGTGCAATTGTTGTTAAAACAGAGTTATATTCATACGTTTTTTGCTTAGGCAGCTAAAACGGCACAGCGACGACATGAACGGCACGAGGCACATGTACATTAATATTACGTTGTTTGTATAGTCGAACCCTCTTGTATAGGCAAGCTTTGTTAATAGTGTTATTGCAACGCTTAAATATATCTCTATGGGTTATGATACGTCGTATTTCTGTAAATTGAGATATTAAGATGCTATTCAAAACGGAAATGCTCGTGAGACTCAAGTGGGTCTGGGCTGGATTTGTGTTATAAATGGGTATAGAAAAGTGAGACTCGGGGAAATCAACAAAAATAAAGGTTTGTTTGATTACAGATATTCAGTACGTTAGTCAGTGAAGCCTTTGCTTGAATGAGGCCGCTGCTTCGCACCGTATAACCAACGTCACACACGCTAATATGTTACATAACAATAGTAACTAGGTCGTACGGTTAGCAAAAGTTTGCAACCTAAATGATCAAGAAAAATATATTAAGGGCAATTTTTTACGTTGTTTTTTAAGTGTCATCTACACTAGCTAGTTTTCTAAGTAATGAAGAAGTTATTTTCTAGCGTTTGCCGAAAATTTGCTTTGTCACGCTGCTTTATCTGGAACGTATCTATTCTATCGTATCGTTCTAAAAATGCTCAAATGCTAGCGGCCACTCATGTGGTAAATAGACTTTCTCACTGGCTGAAACGAAAGCAATCCTGTCTTACATATTTAATCACCTCGTTCGACCTGAGAGCGATTATCCGCAAATCAGAGAATTAATAAAACCTGATTACAAAAAAAAATTGTCCTACATCTTTGATGACCTTCTGTTTATCAATATGACTTGACTTACCTGCGTAAGCGATTCACTCACTCTCATCAAATTATTCATCTGATTCAGGCCGATCAGTCGAAAAGGGCAAACATTTTTCAGACTCAAGACCTTCGCCCAGTCTATGTGATCGAATAGACAAATGTAAAAAATACTAACGTAACCTCGAAATTGTGAGCAATGTCCTTTTAGTCAAGGTCGAACCTAGCAACGGATTCTAAGGTGTTATGCTTTGATCGCCTACATCTTCAGAGCTTCCATAAAGTGATAATCGCGAGTTTTTCAGCTCCGTTTAGATTGTGAACGGTATATGCTAGACACAGCTCTCCCGTGAGTTTGATTTGCTGTCATCTCTACTGATAAACGATGTGAGATCATTATCGGTTTTGCTTGACAAATTGGCGCCTGTTCCGGTAAAAGACAGGGTTTCGCCACTGTTGCTTCTCTGCGTGGCTAAAACAGCGGAATTCTTATTGGTAGTTGCCTTTGAAGATGGCTGGCTGTGCCGTGGCCTGCCGTAAAAGGCCGACGACGAATCATTAATGAGGAGGTCGTCGACCGTTTGTGGTATCTTTTGGTGTACGACAGCCTAGAAGCGAAGCAAAGGAAAATATTAGTTACTCTGTGGTGAGTTAGTACGTGACATTTATGTGACTGCAGAAGTAGCAATAGTTAATAGCCGTCACCCTGTCATCTGTTACCAATGATACAACACTCGTTTCAAGCTGATCATATGTAGATACATATAATATAAGACAAATAGGTATACCTTTGTGAGATCAAGAGAGAAATTTAGCTATCAACCCAAATGTATAGTAACGGTGTTGGGTCACAAACACGGTTGTGGATGGCGAGGATTGTATAGCCGTTTTAAAATATATTCGATAAAATTGACTCTGATGAGAAGCAAATAATAATAGCAAGCAGAATTTTTTAAGGACGGCGATATCGTACATGCTATTTTTTGTTAGGTGAAAATAAAGATCATATCTTCATTACTTAGCATTATTTGGAAACAGAGACATTAGAAAGTCCAAATAACCTTTTTTGAAAATAACTGTCCGTATGGTAACAACTCTGACGTACGTTGCAAATAACTATCCATTTAAAAATTACCGGGTTGTCGAACCCAACAACTTCACTAGTTCTACTTAATCGATTGGTGCCGGGTGAATACTACCAAAAGCCCAGCTTTTCCAGGCTACATCAAAGTGGGTTAGATACGAATTGAACAGGATTGAAAAAAGGACACATCAGAGGGACTCCAGGTCATCTAGCATCTAGTCAACGAAACAGCGGACGAATAAGTATGCCAAATATCGCTTGCATCACCTTGGTTAAAAAGGCGCTTTCTCGCTTACTCCATTCAGCAGCCTGCTAGCCATTAGAAGAACGATCATTGCCTAACTCGGCAAACACTTGAAAGCAAAGAACGTTACTCACGCTCATATATATCTGAACAATGTGACGCTACCCACTGTCGTCCGTCGGGCATCCCGCATCCGTTACCAGATCCATGTTACTTGAATCTTTCTGATGCAATATATACAACGTGCCTGTATAATTTAAGTTCTTACAAAGACTTCCACGTTCTTATCAGAGGTCTCGTACGATCCGACGACTAGGTAAAGTGCTTACCTTTTTGCTTTCTATCTTTGCCGAATCGTCTGCGACCTCTTTGTTGGACGAGTTTCAAGGACATTCCCGTCTGCGATCAGCTCAAACAAGAGCTCGATCTTGTCGTCATCGTTCATATTTACGCCTCTTGCATGATTTAAACACTTGTTGCTGCATGCGATACTACAGTTATGGTATTCGAGAAGCATAATTGCTTCATTGGTCTAACAATTTTTGAAGCTGCAAGCATCGATTAGCTTGTTAAATAACCACAGAATGTTAGTTAAAAAAAAAATAAACATAGGGACGTGAGGAATCTCCTCAACGAGATTGTGCTTGGAGGCCGAGGTATTTCTAGGTCGCTGATAGTGATCTTGGAACGGTGGAGTGTTGCTGAGTCTGTACAATGGGAGCGCTTTTACCTATCGTCTACGGACAGGAAGAAAATTCAGATGAGTCCCGATTGCGTACTGCGTTTCGGAGTTGCCTAATCTACGTTAACAGGTCAAGCATTAATTAAAGGACAAGTACTATTTCGATGGAAAAGACCTGAAAAAGGCTGCTTTGATTCAGTTGATTTTCTTATGGTGAATACGAGGGATGAGATTATTAAATGTATAAGATACGCTAATTGCTATTATTCGTATTGTGCAGTAAAGAAATCGTATAGCACGTTCGTTAAGCGTCGGCTATTTAGGTTTAAACATGAATCCTGGAGCTAATAGTAGTGTCCTTTTAGGTTCAGTACTTAAGCTACGGGCCATTACTTAAGACAGGCCTTTGCTGGACCTGCTATCTGGCGTCTTTTCAAATAGATCTATATAACGTCATTTTAGCAAAAAGCCATCGTGACCGTTTGCCAACGTGAATTAGCAATGATCGCTCCCCTATAAGATACTGGAAATGAAAGCGTCTTTGTATGAGATTAGTCTACGCAATAACCTGACTGCTGCTAAAGTCAGCTTCTTCATAGGAAAATTCAAACTTTGGACACAATCAGACATAGTGTCTATAGCTTCAATAGCTACAGAAAGTCTGTGAAGTTGTCAACTTTAGAGCTTGCCAACAGCAAACGTAATATTCTTCCATATTCCGTTAAGGTCACAGTAGTTGGTTTTGTACATGCAGTAAGGTAAGCGCGGAAATAACAACATTACGTTACGAAAAACCCCGTCTCCTCTGCCCTATTGTTAAATAAACATATAGAAAACATATATATTTGTATATGTTTATTTCAGCAGATTCTTAGACTTCACTACGATATCTAGTGGGCTTATCATTCCTGTACAGTGATAGCCAAAAATTAGGGGGTGGTACGACTGGGGCATCGTGCCAACGAAGCGTAGCTCCAGATATATTTGTAATAAATAAGGGTAAAGAGATACAATAATGGGCGTAATATGTGATAATCTATAAAGCTCGGATTGGCACTAGTTGCTAATCCACCTGACCCCTTGTATATATAAAAAGTTAAGTACATTCTCAGAGCCCAGTTGCCAAGCTCAAAAATCATCTATCAAGTTGTTTACAACGTTCAAAATGATTCGGAAATAAAAAAAAAACATGTGAATCAAAGCATTGGCAATTGTCCTATAAGAGATTAGGAAGATACTTACCGAAAAACGACTGCAGCTGTCGGCGTTGGATGGTGAGCCATCAGTCTTAATTGATACAGACCTCGTCTTGCCATTGTCACAAGGCGTGTTACATTTTAGTCTCGGGTTTGGCGGGGTGCCTGAGTCGAAGACGAAAAGTTTTGTTAGATGAACTTTTCACTAATAAACTGCCGTAGATTTTCGATAGTCGCGATCATACAGATATCGTAAAAAGATCGGCTCTTTCCTAATTTACAACATCATATACATGCATTTGGTTTTCAATAGGTTAAAATTCCCATGGTGATTTTGCGTATACCTTATAGTAACGATATTTCCAAAAAACAGTGTTCTAATTTTCAAAAAAAAAAACAACCGAGCGCCACGTGAACTCCAAACGGTCTCTAATAGATTCATCTCAAAACAAAAATCATAGAATTATTACGTATCCAAGTGTACACGTCTACAGGCTGCGGCACTGTCTAGCCAGTCGTACTTTTGCTCAGCGCACCAAGTTGCTTTTCTAATCGCTTACACATGTGCAGAGTTAGTCATAGCATACGGCCTATGAGCCGTAACAAAAGCTGCAAGCGGCGCACATGTCGCACAAAGGGAACTTTTCAGCCTTGACTACCGCTACGCTTCTAGTTATTTAACAATATTTAAACATTAAATTGTCACATTTCCATAAAAGCCACGTGCTACGTACATTGGGCCTGATTCAACAAATGTGTAGGGGAATCAGCATACGTCAAAATCGCGCCGCCTACATTAATTTCATCGCTTCGATCTGCGGTATGACCGGATTCATAGCTTTGATTATGGGTGATCTCTATACAATCGGGTACGACAGAAGCGTGAATTAAGCTGATGTCACGGTATTCGTGAGAGTGGCTGAGATCTGGGTCCGGGCGATGATCGATGTAGCGTCCACCCGTATACGACGCTAGCTTGGTAAATTCGCGCGGGGACTGTTGTTGCTGAATGATATCCGGATGGATCGCGTGATCTTTCTGAAGATGAAGCTGCTGATGCCCATAGTGATGGCGGCGACGTCGATGACAACGCGACTCTGCATCTGAGTTCTGTTGCTGGTTGAGGTCGAGAAGCGAAGGACTTCGGCCGTCAGTATCCAGTGGCAGAGGTGGTAGGGAGTGACAGATCGGCGAATTACAGTCGCACTCAAGACTGTCCGCGTCTGGCCCTGGGTGTCCTGTAGATTCGGACTTTAGTAGGGTCATGCCCCATCTGTGTAATAAGCGTAGAAAAGATGCGGAGAAAAAGAGTCAAAATAAAATGTGTCAAAAGTTGGCCAAACACCCTACAAAAAAAATGTTAGGATGCTACAAGCAAAGCTGGCGGACCGCAAAAGCGAATAGTTAAATTGATGATTTTCTAATATGTGCCAGAAGACTAGTTCCTTGCGTACCTGTTGCAGCTTCTAGACAGCTGTATAGCTAACATTCGCGTTACCTTTCTACTTGTTTTATTTATGGCTTCTCGAACTAAATCGATAGTAAGATATGCTTGTTTATTAGTTGCTCTTTTTAAAGAATAGAAAGCCCCGCAATTAGACGGATCGAGGTCGGCAAAATAAACAGGTTCAAGGCAACGTTAGATACGTCTTTGCTCTGTTGACGACCGATAAAATCTCATGTTGTTATTAAGTAAACAGGGTGCGTGCCTTCGATTGCCATGCCAACGGTCCACGAATTTCTGCATTCATCATTTCATTTCTGCCGAGTATCTCATAGTAGCAGATGCTTCTGATGTCCATTGCTATCACTACCATTACGTTATGTCTAAACCTATTTGACACTGCCATAGAACTCATTTGCTCTCTAAGGCGATGTCAGTCTCTCGCCTGGTCTTTCTTTGGGTGACGGTAGAGACTGACCCATGTCTCTTTCATGGCGACCATAAGCTCCAGGCGGGTTTTTTTTTTGTGTTGATTAAGGTTCCGTAAATTGCACGTTGAATACAGCTGCATACCAGCCATCAGACTCCATATTCTGTACTTATGAAAAGCCTTCTCGATTATGGCAATGCATTCTGGACCTTACGGCCTAAAACCTAACCACATTCCCCTGACTTTCCACATTCCAGTCTTTGGTTATTGAAACGCTTCAGCATTCTTTTAGTGTACTTTCGCTTAAGGCCTTCTTGCCTGACACCTTCACCAATCTTCAATGGATTTTTGCAACGCTGTGACCTTTGTCAAAAAAAAACTCGACTACTGAGCGCTAATTTCCGACATGAGAAGATGTTTTTCCTTCTAAACTGATTACTTCTGGAGTAAACTAGATCGGTTTATTCTCACATGTTTCTAGACAGATAGCCAGGTTTCAGCCAAATTTGTCCGTTAATTTCATGTAGGTTCGCTTGATACATCTTAATATCTATAAATATTACATTTAATATACTACGAATGCACGTGAAAATCTTGTTTCTTTTTTCCTATTGTTTTTATTAGAACAATCATTTAATTATTGCTGATGAGTCGATAGAGTAGTTAGCATAACGAGCGATAGTTTTAAAGGATAATTGACAGGAAGGCCACTTACTTGTTAATGTCCTTCTGTGACACGCAGCCTTGTGAAGGAAGGAAAAGAGTAGGAACCATCATTAGCATTCGGACTTATTTTTAATTAGAAATAATATTTATTAGAAAATATATATTCATATGAACGAACTTCAAATAAACTTATAACGTATCAATTTTCAGAAAAATCGATTTACACTAATATATATAAACAGGGAAAAAAAATACCAACTGAGGTATAATTTAAAAGAAGAATTAACTGCTATCTTATATAATAATCAATAATTCAATAATTCAATAATTGTTGATAATCAGCTTACCATTTTGTTGAGCGTCTTGACATCGCTTGTGGCACGTGGCCACTGTAAAGGCGAAGATCCCAATCAGAGTTGAAGTCACGAGGAGGCCTAGCAGAAGGCCAAGAACCGGTCGAAGTACCGCTAAGCGAACGGCTCCACCGCTGGTTTCTAAAATAAGTGAAGCTCATTACTCCCAACCCCATAGACAAATATCATAAATAGTTCCAGTAACTGCAACTCTACGAGAAGATGGAAAATCCGGTCTAGCTCTATACAACATTGTGAAAATAGGAAACCCTTGAGGCGTCGAAGATCTGAAACGATATCTCAGCCTGTGGAAAGCAAATTACGTGTGCCCCAGTATACGTTTGACTCGCAATTCAACGCTTTAAGAAGACCTCCCAGGTCATTTGTGAGGAAATTTGTTTGCATTAAAAACCGACGATTATAGCACCCCCCTCCAATGTTCGTAAGCATCAACTCTACTATTAACTTATCAATTGTTCGTCCTAGTTTAACGGTTCTAAATGTCTAACTAGAGATATTATTTAGCACTCCTTCGATAAATAAATCGTAAGCTTTAACATTACGTACGGGTATACTTCGACGCGTTGAGCACATGAGCTACCACGCGAGTGACCGTACTGCGGCCTTTCCTGTTTACAGCATAGATATAAACTCGATACCCGGCCTCATTATTTTCCGCACGAGGAACATCCGCGAAAACAAATAGCAACGGCGCGTTTCCCGGCGTCCCGGCGACTGACACGTTGGCGAGGCACATTGGCGCTGCAGGTGATTTCATAAGGGTTGCTGCGCTAACACTTGCCACGCCTAAGGACATATTGACGGCATGATCCGAGTCGTAAAGTTCGGCTACGTACGAGAGATATTGGGGAATATGGCCACCGTTCCATGCGCCATCAAGTCCTTCGAAGCACTCTACGGTGAATCCATTGTCAGTAGCATTTACCTGAAAGATGAATGGGGAAAACGTTGTATCTACTGTTGCCACTGATCGAATCGGCTTGTACACAATAGCTTCCAACTGAATACAAACATCCGCGCAGATTTTCGAAATCTCAACCAAACTAACCACTCTTAATAAAAAGCAGTTTGTTGCGTAATACGGTACGATTCCATTAGTGGCACTCGGAATGCACGAACTATCATGCACATACGTATATATCGAGAGGAAGAAAAGCTTAGACTTCTATGTGAAACGTATAAAGCGCCGTGTAAACCTAATATTCATGCCTACGTTGTACGTAAGTTGTATTCGGGACAGAGTTTAAAACATATTATATATGCATTACTTCGTAAACATGTGTACACATTGTTGAGACATTTGTTTGCCTCTGGTGTTTATACTTACTTGGGTACAGTTCTCAGGGGCTTGTGGGGGCATGGCTGGCGTTATGTAATACACACAAGGAACTTTTTGTACTCCGACCTCATTTCTACCAAAACAGAGCAGTTCACCATAGTCCTGCTCAGTCAGCGGCTGGTAGTTGATAATATCACTATAATAAGAAATTATCACGTCTGTCATATTTTGTCCTATACAATGAAATCCGTTAAAAGGATTGTTTTAATTCGTACGCATAGTTATACTACCTATAGGCACAGCTTTCGACGAAGGGCGCGAAAGCCAACATTTTCCTACGTTTCTTACACAAATGACAGTGTAGTACTCGAAACTGAATAAATATGAGCCTTCTATTGTATCGTGTCGAAGGTTTCAGCATTTGGACATAACCGTATTGAGATTATTCATTCTGTCATGTTTTGTTCCGACAGATTAGTATAAGCCTTGATGAAAATAGGCTTAATTTACGAAGTGGTACCTTGATGAACGCCGTAAGTTCAACGAATTAGGATTATAGTTGGAGTTGTATCGCCTCGGTTGTGGATGGTGTCGATTGTGGCTGTAGCTGTCGTTGTTGTCAAGGTAGCCGCTATTGTTGAACGACCAGGTGAAGTCGATCTCTTCCGATGGGTCCGCATCAAGGTTGCACGTGATCTGAGCGCTTTCAAAGATATCTACACCAAATATATGACGCTGTCCTGGCTGACAACGCGGAGCATCTGAATGTTCAAAGTGAAAATACTGAATTTTCTTCGCCGGTACCGCAACTTCTACGCAAAGCCGAACCCGCTTCTACCAGCTGAACTCTAGAGTAATACAAGGGTTTTTCTAAGGTATTCTAAAGTAAAGTCACTTCTTCTGTGTTAATAATATTGAAACATTAGTAGAAAATTAGGCTATAGTAACACTTACTAGTGTTAACTTTACTATATCGGTTACAAGAGCTTTGTTTCGATCAGTTAATGACACATGTTGTGTGTTGCCTATCTATAATTTATAACAGCTTTTAGAATAGTTTCTAACGACGTCATTTTCTTCTTCTTCTGTATTTTTTTATATGTCTCTCACTTAGGATTTAATATTCGAAACAGGTTCAGCTTTCGACAATTCTGCTGCTTTTTACTCTACTAAAGAGCTCTGGGAAACTGAAGTTCAGACCCACATTTAACTCTGAGAAAAAGGCGATTGCTCACGACAGATCCCATCCGATTGGACGTAGAACAGGTGTACCAGCCCCGTTGTGACTTCGACACCTTTTGAAGGACGAGCGACGAACTGCTTACAATGATTCCTGTGAACACGACAACGATAAAATACCACTCTAAGAATGGAAGTAATTTTGCGTTGATTTTTGTCGGATATAGCTTTGATGACATTTTTCTTTACTAATACATTGATTTTCTACAGATGCAGTCGCGTTCGAACAGGCACCGTTTTAGTATCCGTTTCGCGTCAAACGCTTTCATTTAAATCATCCCATACAGACCCGCCTGTTCCTCTAACAAAGAACAAATTGAAGGCCCTCAAAGAGGAACTCCGAAAGTGGGGCAATCAGATTACGCTGAGCCGTCACTGACCAATAGATCGTGTCCGATTTTTACGATCACTAAGCAACTCTTAAATGAAATACGATTAAAAAGATCTATCAATAAATTTGTCTACAACCAATGTCAGGGAACAAAGCGATGTTCTGAAAATTATTTCAACAGCGGCATTACGTGCTAGGCTAGTTGTCGTAATTATACGCTACACGAACGTAATGTTCACTGCTCTGTTAACTGTTCGTTGACTGCAATCCCGAACTGTGATCACGTCGGCCCCGGTTCACGGTAAAAACTACTATAACCAGATATGATTGATCATAACGTAAAATGACGGCAAACAGAGACGCGTTTCGGTTGGATCCAGTAGTGGCATGGCATACAGAAATTACGTTCAATTGCCGGAATATATAATAGAAATGAAGTTATTTGAATAGGTTAAAGCATGTTACAGCAAACAATAGAATCAGTCGACTATTGTCATTGTAAAAGGTATGATGCACTTTTAGGTGGCGTTAAGCAGGATCGATTATAATAAAACAAAAAAACAGCTCATCTTTAGCGAGATGATCGATCGACGTATGGTATCAGGTGGCACTTCGCTCCGCGCCCAGTCCAGATAGAGTGCCCCTCTTGACAAGCGTAGTTCAGAGCGGTTCAGTAAATTGATTTCGAAATTATGCCATAGTGATGCATAACTTTAAATCTGGCCTCGTGCTTCGGATAAACGTCTATATTAAAATGGGTGTTTAGTGCTGACATCTACCCGAAACCTCATTGAAAAAAAAAACAATAAAACCATCGAATATTAGGCCATTCCATACGACGACGTTTACCCTCGCTGTACGTTAGGCTTAAACAATTATAAATTGTGGCATTTTTCTAACTAGCGCAACGTATCATAGGACTGAAGCGCAGTAATTCCACTCGAGGTCTGGATAAAAGCTTTCAGTAAGTTCGAATCAATTAATTTACTTTATTGAAGCTTACTATTAAGCGTCTTATTAAGTAGCTTATTATTAAGAAACACTTGAATAATTGGGAATTCAAATAAAGGATCCATCAGGCCACTCAGGGTGGGGCCCCACGAAAATGGCTGACAGAATACTATGATCCTGATAACTTCAACCCTGAGAGAAACTATTTTCAGTTAGTGTTAATAAATAGCGTTATAATTATTATTTTTATCGTTATTATCACTAGCCGATTCCGACAGACAAGGTTAATAAAATAACCGACCATAAAACGCCCCATTTCTCATTACCCTTTCCATTACTCTACAATATATCTCAGCATCCAATTAGTATTATTGATTCTATTTTCGGCATCAATTATATTTACCATTATACTTATCTGTCTGTAGCTCTCTTCCCTCAAAGTGCCAGACAACCTCTGACGTTAATGGATTTGCGTTGATATCGCAGTCCAGATAAACATCACGATTTTCAAAGATCTCGTCAGGGCGTAAGTTAGCCCCTAGTGTCAACGTAACTTGCGGAGCATCTGCGACAATAAGGCGGCCAAGGTTAACTCTGTGACACGCTATGTTAGGTATTTTGTAGTATATTTGTATCTATCGGAATGTATCACCAAACTAAAATGGCTCTTAAACACGTTACGAATAAAATTCATCAAAGGGGTAAAAACAAATCTCTACGTTTGCCAGAGTTCGGTAAAAACAGTTGACCTACATCGCCACAACAATATCAGCTAGAAATTGTTATTTTGAAGCCTCTAGAACATGTTGAGGAAAACTTTGCCTGCTAAAAAATCCTATTATTTCGACCGTCTGCCATCATTAATCGACGAAGAAGCAGTGTTTTCTGCGCTTATTTCTGGCAAACGTAAACTTTATTTTAGCCTCGTATACCCTTGTACGTGCCTCCCTTACTTTCCCGACCTGCCCCTCTCCTGCATCCCGCCAAGTTGCCTAAGACTAAAATCATTGTCGTCAAACTCACAGTGTACATCGAGAGTCTGCGTATGTTGGATAGCTTTATCTGGCAGATTTGTGTTTTTCGCTCGACATACGAGCGACGCTCCGTGGTCTTCAGCCTTTGGAGTGAACATCAGTACCGAAACGGTACTACTCGCTCCGAGCATCCCGCCATCATCTGTCGCATCAAAACACAAAAATTATTGTGTAATTTTAGAGTATAACAGTATATAATATTGAGATGGTCAAGCATGATTCGGCCTATTCACGTACTCACTCGTGGTAGAGCTGGGGGCCTCTTGGTCCTGTACTCTGTGCTATAGTACTATATATTGTTTTAGTGTTACATCTCACCGATATGAAAATATCCTAGCTAGACCAATTGTGATGACTAACATTATTGCTAAGTAGAATATTACAATAACACGTACGAGCTTCCTAACGCAAAATCCTGATTTCTTTCTTATTTTGTAAGTTATTTTGAACAAAGTTAGCTTCGTTATACGATTGTTTCTGTTATTAAAATCGTTATCAAACCATTTAAATAATAATGTCTGGATCAGGACACACCATTTGCAATGAAATCTTCATTACTTTGAGCTAATAGTTCCTGATTGCCCTTCCACCAAGACAAATGAGCTGGAGGTCGGGATCCTGATGAAGAACAGATGAATTTTGCGGGTGATCCGGCGGATAAGGCTCGAGTACTAGATTCAATTTTCACATCCAGAGGTCTCACTAAAATATCGAAGTCAAAAGGAGTTAGGATATCTCATTAAAATACATAGACGCTTGATAGATTATTTTTGCTTTTTTTTTTTCTTCACAATGGAAGAATTGACACTTGAATAACTAAATTCTTTTATAGTAAAACATGTTTGAACGGAGGTCATATCAAATAGAAAAATCAACCCAGCCTTGGTCAAACCAAAGAACGCTACATTAAATGTTTACCCTCTTAAAAGTTGACAATAGGTCTAGGAATGAAGGATAAAAAAGTTTTCCTTCGTATTTGTTACGTTTCTACCGTTAACGTCGATGGTAATAGTTGTTTGCGATGGCCGCGTAATATTGTTGTTTGTAGACTGGCAAATGTACGTGACGAGGAGATGGTCTCTACTTAAGACGGGTATTTCAAGTGTATTCCGAACCACGTTATTGATTAGATCATACGAGAAGGACTCGTCGATGACGCGTCCATTGTGCAGCCACAGAAGACTCGCTCGAGGTTTGCCCATCTTGGCGGTACAGAACAACGTTAACGGTTCGCCTTCGTTGAATGGTCCGGCTAATCCGTCGGATAAAACGGGTTCAGCGTCTTCTTCTGTCGACACAATGGGTTGTCCTGGAGGTACTGCGATAAGAAGCACATTTATCAACATCCAAGTACAATAGGACACTAGTTAAATTAAAGAAAGATTCAGTTATTACCTAAAACTACAAAATGACTGTGGTTCGATAATTATATAATAATATTATTACCCAGGAGGATGGAGAAGTCTCTTAAGCGCTTGAAAAAAGACTACTGCGCAGATATGCAACGTATGCTCATATGTAATCGAGGGTGTACAATGAAAACGTTCAAATTTACTAATGAAAAGATCTTCCCATTCTGAACATTGAGTTCTTGCATCAGCTACTGCCATTGTTGGCGACCAAAATTACCAAGAAAATATAATCATTCTCGCTTTGTGCCAACTGTTTATTGTTCATGCTCACCAATAACTCGAAGATTAATGACTGTGTTCATTGAACGAGCGCGCTTGAAATCAACGCGACATCGGTACTCGCCAGCGTCGCTTTCGGCCACCGGTTGAAATTGTAGAAACGCCGGTTTATGGTCGATCTCGAACGTAGCGCGACCGTTTAGTTGATCAAGGGAGGACGTCTGCGGCGCAGATCGGAGCCCGAGTAGTACTCCGATTTGATTTGTATGATGGTGCTGTGTTCCGGAAGCTCCGCCAGAGGCACGTGCATCGACTGTAAACACTGGCTGGGGTATCTCGTCCTTATACCATAGCACGAGCACAGCAGCGTCGTCCCCAGCACGCTCCGCTGGTTCGACGCTACACGGCAAAGCAACTTTTTCCCCCACAACCGTTGTTACAACCATGGACGCTGAAAACGAGTAGAGATGCAAAAAATCATGCCTATGTACGTATTAACAACATACAACGGATACAATAATTTCTGTTCATATGAATTGTAGTGGAGTGGTAATGTGTTTACCTAGTCAAACAATGAAAAGATACACGTTTCAAGTATCTACGACACGTACTGCCATTAAACATTGCTTTAAATGGTTGGCTAAAGAAATTCTGAACGTAAGCCACAAAAAAAAGCGTTAACATTATGCCGTCACACTGTTATATTTACGGATTCATAAGGTGGTTTTGGTTCGAAACCGGGCGTAGATATACATTATTACACAATGGAGGGGGGCCAGCCGCCATCAAAATCAACGATGCTCAATTAGGGCAATAGCATAGAAATATTTATCTGTATAAGTTTTTTTTTGTACATGTATATGTATTTGGGATTGTTTTGAAGGACATGCTTTGGGTTATTTTAGGTCTCTGTTTTTATAATTGTTTGTTGTAGTGAATGAATAATCTTCTCAATTCTATTTTTAAACTATCGGATATGCAATTCTTTATTTTTATTTATACCATATATATGCCGATATTCATTTAATTATATATATACATATATATATATATATATATATATATATATATATATATAGAGAGAGAGAGAGAGAGACCAGTTTCCAGTCATTTTAAGTCTTCATTTTACATTATTTATTTTACTTATATTTTTTTACGACGTTTTGCTCTTCTGCTACTTCAAAAAGTGTAAGATAAACACACATTGTTAAGGCGCTCATTTTTAGACTTAAAGATTTCAACCCCCAAGCTGCGTATACGCTTTTAGAATGTGAACCCAGCCGTAAGCCTGAGCTTTCTTCAACAGTAAAAATCACTTATCCGTTGACCTTAAGTTTTATAGACCGGGTATATCTACAAAAAAGCTAATATGTTAAAAGGCTCCGGGGCTTCCTAATCATATTACGGTGCCTGATTTATATAATATTCCGTTTTACTAACCGTTGACTTTCAGCTCGCCCAACAAGTAACCACTGACAGGAATAACTTAAATATCCATTTTAGACAAAACAATTGATTTGGCTATAGCATAGCAATATGGCAAAACTCCCTACCCAATAAATGTTGCAAGGCTGTTTAAGCCAGCTTTTCGATAGGTCGAGAAAAAGCCTTTGTTTCCGATAATGAAATGTCCTGATTAGAACTTCTTCTTAATGCCTTCAGCGATTAGCGGTGTAACGCTGAACTCTCGCTATCCCCCGCTGCTTGTCAAATAAATAGCCGGCTGCTCTTCCCCCTCATCAGAATGTTCAACGAGCAAATTAAACGAGACATACAACTGCATCTTCGAAGGAATGAAATTGCTAGCCAACGTCCGGACTGACATAGTGATAATTGAACTCTCGATGCCCCGAATAAACAAATGAACGGTTTCTCTCCTTAATTTTACATCGTTTTAAGTCAAGCGTCAATGTTATCTTCCAATGATTGATGTTTAATTAAAAAAAAAAAAAAAAAAAAAAGAAAAGATGATATTTTGCGTTACCAGAGCGAACTCCATTTAGTACTATCGATTAAACAAATATCTCTAGAATTAATAAATGTTATACTGTTGATCTTTTTTATTATAGAGACTCATAGATTTCTAAATTGTATCGTCTGCATCTACCGCCATTATCTACTGTATGCGATACAATCACATTTTACTTACTACACAATTTGCATTAATGCAAATTGTCTAATAAGTACAGGAACATACGGTCGGTCGTAGATCAATGAAGGGGCTTTTTAAGGCTTTACTTCGACAGAAGGCAGGCCCTCACTTCTGATACTAGTTCGAGCTGAATAACCTAGGAATGAACGCCAGGTAACAGGACGTTTCCCGCTGCTTATCCAATGCAACGCATATTGATCGATATGACACCGTGCCTGCAAACGTGTCATTATTATTATTATTATTATTATTGCTTCTATTATTACTGTGCTTACTAATATTTCTAGCTAGTTAACTAGATCGGTCCTTATAAGCGTTCAGCGTCGAACTCAGCACATCACTATTAAATGAAATAGAGCAATACCACATGCATCTTCGCAATATCGTAACATACTTGTACGTATTTGATGTGTAAACGTTTGCCTCAGGCCCAAATACGAACGTGTATATATACACCTAGTAGGACAAAAATAGATTATTAGATATAGATATTATTTGACAGATATATATATAGATATATAGTACATTCTACTTAATATATATATATATATATATGTGTTTTTTTCCCACTAACACCTGTTTGCTAATATGTTGATTTTCAAACGGTTTGGCATTTCATCAGACGACGTATTTATTGGCTCTTAGCACGAAACTGTCGCCTAGCTATCGGGCAAGAGAAGCTGCGTATCGAGAACTAGGCCCACATCGTCATCACAAGACCCATGAAGCCTATATAGTAGTTCTATTCTCACGAAGCTGCTACTGAATCTGGAACGGCGTTCCGCCTGCTGCTTATTGGAACAGCAAAAGCAAATGTACAATAGCGTATCGATAGTCACAACGAGTAGAGACTCTAGAGTCCTATTGTACTGACCGGACCTGAGTTGCTTATGAGCTCGATGTGTGTTCGAATAACTATAACGCGTATGGACAGATGACAACTAATACTGCCTCTCGTGGAAGCCACCGATAATATCGGACTGGGTCCTTCGACACGTTCGAAGGGCACAGCGAAGACATATTTTTCTTTGAACTTACTATGAACACGCACAAATATGCTTCAAGTGTAACTCAAAAATTGAGTTAAGCTTTCAAGATTGTTAGTATTGATTTGAAACCAAATTCGCCCTTGCTGTGTGGGGCAAGCAGCGTCATAAAGGACGAGGAGAGAACAACAAGCGAATTGGCATTAAGAGCTGCCAACGAAATAAAGATGTTGCTCTCATTCATATGCTCTATCAACCGTTCATTTGGTTAACTTTCTGGTTATAGTGAGGGCTCCGGGGAGTCTGCGGGACTAGGACAATTCCAGCTTGGTAGTACATACTTATCGAATTCATCACTAATTATTGCTAGTGCTTTAAAAAGAGTATTAGAAAATGAGGGATATTTAGCCTGCCCTAAAAGCAAGCTTGAACGGCAGCCAGTCTTAAAAGTCTGACATCTTGTCAACGTCTATGGACCTTGAAACGCCCTATGCACAAAAGACATCCTAATAAAGTACTCCAACTTATTGATACCGTAGAACTAGGTGGTATTAGGGTTCTGCAACTATATTAGATTGAGTCGCAGACTAAACCCTATGAGGGTTTAAGGTTTAGTGGCTGTCGGAGTACGACAGTGCCCGAAGACGCAGTGTGGAAGTTCAATATCCATAATGCGTTATTTCTTAATTTCCTAGAAATGTTCTTTTTAAACTGAAGAAATGCTGTATAAAGAATGTCCTCTTTGAAGATCCATTCCTCCTGCTAGCCGTGACATTGTACAACAGTTTAACGACTCAATCGAGTCCTGCAAACGCACATGCCACTTGTGACCAGTTACCAAAACAAGACTTAGAATCTATCAGTTTTTTTTCACCCTTTAAATCGGTAATGTTTATTGTCCACATTTCATTTCCTCGCAGCAATACTTAAATTGCGCAACTATTTTAAAACCGCGGAGCACCACGGAACAGTTACTACGTGGCGGTCGAGCCGCGTCCTAAAACGCTTAAGAAGGACAAACGAACTCCTTAAGATACCCCAAAGAGAATATTTTTTTTATTGAGACGTTCCGTCTTTGTCAACTTGTAATGTAAAACGTGTACTTTTGCGTTATTGACCCAGCTTCTTTTATGCATCAGAGTCTGTTTGAGCGACCTTACGTGCATGTTTACCCTTTGTCTCGCCGACCTGACACACATACATACCCATATTACTTAGCTTGCTTTTGAACCTCTTGCTGTGTTCGTTTTAGGGGACTATCCAACCTAGGT